ACGGTTGCAGCGGCTCGGACAATTTTTGTTCCTAGCCCGGGTGTACGCGCTCGGGCTCCCCACATTAAACCAACATTGTGTCACAACCTGACCTCGTGGGGACGGGGTGGGGGGGAGGTTTGAGTAAATACAAATATCCTGTGAGTATTGGATTTTCGAAACGCTTTTTCTTCATTATGTGCCCTATGAATTTCAATAAATGTCCTTTTTGTTTTCATTTTCTCTAAAACTTCGTTTTTGCTCACATGTTCGGCCCATGATATTCTTGGCATATTGCTTGATTGATTCCTTTTCTAGGGTTTATTAACTCTTTGCTGGTTATATAAAACCAGAAAAAAAATTATATAATAATGATTTAGCGATTATACAAGTTTTACTAATTAACCCATAGCTCCGGAGGATAAGAGGTGGATTTATACCTTACCCAACGGTATTTTTGCGCAAGTGAATATAACGAACCCAACGGTAATTAGAACTCAAATAACAATTCCGAGTCATTATCCATTACACCATCCGCACATCCACGATTACAGCACCTAGTATTCCCAAGTAGTCACTCTACTAGGTACTGACTTGGCTTGACGTTGCTTAATCTTATTAGGTAGGTTAAGCGCAATTTTTCATTTTCCATTTTGCCTTCAACTTGTCCTGTATGTATTCAATTTTCCAAGCCTTCTTGCCTCATTATACACCCGAGAAATTGCAAATCACTCTTTAAGTCTTCTTTTCCATTTTCTTCGTCCTTGCTCACATATTCAGTCCACGTTATTCTCTGGAACCACATTTCTGTTATATCAGATCTTTTTTTCGCTCCTGAAGAGATTTCGCAGCATTTACTACCATATAGGACGACTGATATTACGTAAGATTTCAGTCTTCTTTTCTTTGTTTTTAATGAAATTTTCCTGTTTCTTAATACTTTGCTTAGCTTTTGGAGAGCATCTTTCGCTAGCCTAATGCATATTTGGATTTCGGTGTTGCACTTTCCGTCCTATTTAATAATAATGATAATGATAATAATAATATAATAATAAGAAGAATAAAAACAAAAATAGATTTTGACATTAAATAACCCAGCAAAATTTGATACTTTGTAAAATGCACTATTTTGCGCCTATAAACTCGATTATAAATCCAGCCAATGTTTACCTCCAACGCAGGTTGATGGATTTTACGACATATCATATCTTGTCGAGTTATTTAATGTCGAATTCTGTTTTTTATTATTATTTTTGAGTGTACAAACAAACCGTAATTGTTTTTATAATTGAGTTCATAGACACACGTTCATGAGGTTCATACTTTAGTCCATTAACACAAAATGGTGTATTTTACAACAATCAGATCTTGTTGAATCATTTAATGTCAAAATTTTTTTTCTCAATATTATTATTATTTCCTTTGACTTCTGTTGTATACATATTACCTAAGGTCATAAATGGCTCCATGACATTTTCTACTGATCAGTTTTATAAAAATAAAACTAAGATCATACATACTTTACATAGATAAATCGCTTCGTAAGGTGTGGGTTGGACTTGTGAGTACAATTTTGTGTATTTCTTTAAGGCTTTGGATAACAGGAATCCCTTCATTGTGTCTATCGGAATTATTTCCAATCAATCCGAGGGCTCCACGTACAACTGGAATTGTTGATGTCCTCATGCGCCACAATTTTGAGATTTCCATTACAAAGTCTTTGTATTTTAATAGTTCTTTTGAAGATCTTCCTGCAGCGAAGACACATTTGCTTTTTGCGGTCTCTGATCACGATTCCTGGGTGATTAGAGTTGACTGTTCTCTCTGTGTGTATTGTAAAGTCCAGTAAAATTATTACAGGTCCTAACTCTGTAACTGGGTCTGGGTGATGTTCATACCAATTTCTTGTAGTTTCCTTTCTGTAAAAGTTGCAGGTTTTCCAATGCAGATATTGGTCCATTCTGTAATGCCGGATTTTATATTCAGTGGGTGCCAATACCGTGCACTCTGATACATGATGGTCAATTGTTTCTGGACATTTATCATACAATCAGCATTTGGGGCTAACACAATTTTTCGGTATGAAATCCTTGAAAGATTCCTCGTCGGATATTCAGGCGGTTGGAAGTGGCAGTGCCTTTGGTGTGATTTAGGTATAATGTGGTTTTCCACATTCCCAAGCTGTGTTTATGGAAATTTACTATCACTGAGGACACTTTGGATATTTTCCAAAGCCTTAAGGATCCAAGAGTGTGGCACACTATCAAAGGCTTTACGGCAAACTCTCTGTATTATGCTGAGACTTCTACTTCTTTTCCTGCAATTTTCCAAGATCATTTTGTTAATCAAAAGTTGATCTTAGCAACCATATTAATTTCTCCAGTATCCCTTCTGTTTCATCGAGAAAAGAGTAAGTACAATTCGTCACGGCAGACCTATATGTCATGGACAGACACGTTATTGAGGTATAATTTTTCGGATCATGTGTTTCACCCGGTTTTATAGTACGATATTTTTGATACCTTCAGTAATCCATTCTGGGACTTCACTGGGATTATTAATTAACATTGATAAAGTTTTTACACGTTTTTTATGGATTGATGATAGATGATAAAGCCAAAATTGGGCACCTTGTCATTTCTTGAGGATTTCCATCTTGAGGATTTCCTAGAGCTTGCCTAACATTATTCTTGATTATATTTTCCCATTCTTGTAATGGTTTATTCCTCATTTATCTTTTCTTCCTTGTCGGATTTATATTTGATTCCATCGACACTGGTTCTCATCTTTAAGCCCATTGGTAGAAACTGTCTTTATACTTCTCTTGAGATTGCGAAAAGCCACGGGAAAAGGTGGTTTTATTCCAGAGTTAAGGCGTCTTACCCATCTGCAGGGGATGCAGTCTATGCATTCTAAAGGCCACCAATAGGGCAATAATTAACATTATCAACAGCTACATCGAAATATAACCGCAACGCAAAGAGTAATGGCGAACAGGTTAGTATCGAACACGAGAACTGCTCTAGTGAGCGCAATTTTCACTAGATCACCCACACTTAGGACTTTGTATAATACAAAGCTAGAATTTGTCTGTCTTGGCATGGAGCCATGGGTAGTCTCAAAGACCATAATTATGATATTGATTGTGTTTCTCACTTGGTGACACAACTATGGTTGCCTTATTAAATAAAGTGTTCCGTTTATTTCTATCTCTTGGTTTTTACGCCGAGTGTACCTAAAAACAATGACATCGACTAATATATATGTACGGTGTGCATGTGGTAATCATTAGTGAGCTTAACTGAACAACAGTGACTGCTGATTTCGATCCTCACCGTGTAACCCATACTTGTGGATTCGTACCAAGCTAAGCTTAGTAAATGAAAGCTGCTATATCGGAGGAGCAATGGGTTCTTCGACGTGGTGTAATTGTTAGCGATCTTGTCTTGCTATATCAATTACATTTGAGTAGTGCGTTCGACCCTCACCGACCGAATACCCATTGCTTACGGCTTTATGCCAGGCTAAGCTTAGTAAATTACGGCTGCTATATCGGAGGTGCAATGGACATTTCAACATGGTGTAATTGTTAGCAAGCTTTTCTTGCTATATCAATTACATTTGAGTAGTGCGATCGATCCTCACCGACCGAGTTCCCAATACTTATGGCTTTCTGCCAAGCTAGGCTTAGTAAATTACGGTTGCTATATCGGAGGTGATATTGAAATTTCGACGTAGTGTAATTATTATCAAGCTTATTTTCATCAATTTTCAACTGAGTACTGGGATCGACCCTCACTGGGTGCGCTATACTTTCAGCCTTATGCCGCATCTAAGCTGCGTTTAGTAAATCTCTATATTGAAGGTACAGCGAAACTTTTCAGTAAATTTGAAGATATTAATCGGCTAGTTGATCTGTCAAGGTAGACGCCTTTTTACGCATCTCAGCAAACATTTCACAAACCACTCCACCAGTAAAAGTATGTTTTCTATCAATTTTTCTTTCCTTTTAGAAACCACTTCGCACTATAAGTTCCCTGAAGTTTTGAGCAGAACCCTGTAAGTGATAGCTGCACGCTACTTGATCCATTGAATGCCATTTTCGTAGACAGATATACCTCAGTTGATATATGGCACCGATATTTATCACTATTAGAAGCCTAACTCGATTGAGATACGATTCCGAATCACGCAAGAGCAGAAAAGCTCGGCGCTGGAAGAAACTGAAATGACTTCAAAATTTTAACTGCTGTCATTACTATTGTCAGAATTCAAGAGCAAATTCTCTTGAATTGCTGGTGATTATTCTAAGGACGTTTGTTGATAACTGGCAAAATCATTAGGTTTATTTGCCATCTTCGATCGTAATTGCATGGAAAATCGAAATTGCTCATCCTTAAAGATAGTCCAGGTCAGAGAGTTCTGTAAGCTAAATGGATATAAAGCCGTACATTAAATATTAAAACAAACATACACCAGATCTGTTTAACAAATATATTAAAGTTGATCTGCTTCGTGGCTGAGATAGTTCGAACTCTGGTGAAAAGAAAATACAATCAAGGCAGGAATCCGTTCTCACTTGGACAACTGATGCAATGCAATCAGTCCATTCATATTTACACTAGTATGTGACAGTTGACATTTCTGGGACATATAATGAAGAAAGGGGTCTTGGCTCACGGGGAAACAGCGAATAAAATGTCTAGAGATATTGTAGAAATGAATGATAGAACAATGACTGGAAGAAATAGTGGATAAAATTTTGTAAAAGCTACAAAGAGTTGTGCAGAGACACGACCATCCACATCCTGAAGGTAAATGGCACATAAAAATGATATCAAGACCCGTCTAATAACTTAGTCGCGCTTTTTCTTACAATATCAGAGTACATCGGCCGAAACTTTATGTGAAAGACAAGAAAATCGGATGAACTTTTCTTAAAGAATTCATTTATAATAGAACGTTTTCTCAGCCAAACATGGTTCATCTGACTAGGTAGGTAAATGTTTACGGCTACAATACGCTGAAACACCGGTTACCGTGTAATCACTGAAGTTAAGCAACATCGAGCCTGGTCAGTACCTAGATAGGTAACCGCTTAGGAATACCAGATACTGTAAGCTTGGATATGCGGTTAGTTTAATGGATAATGACTCAATAATTGTTAATCGGCGAACCGAAATCACGTTCCCGCTGGGTTCGTTTTTTATTCGCAAATACCCTTGGAAAAAGGTATGAATCCACGTCTTATCCCCCAGGATGTGGGCTTATTAGTAAGACTTGTACCACTAAACCATTATCTTGAAAAGAATTCTTACAATTTAAAATATTTTTCGGATTTAAATAATCTGCAAAGAATCGATTAGCTCTAGAAAATGAACCAATCAACAAATTGCTGTAACCTAAGGAAGGTTACGGAATAGAATAATCACACGAAGGTTGGTAACGAACGATAATACTTAGGACACGAACAACACATATAAGATTCGCCAGCTGCGCATAGAAGAAGTAGTCGACTGAGGAAGTGAGTTAAGTCAATTCTACAATGAATCTCCAACTGCAGACCAACATACAGTATTAACTACTGAATTTATGTGAATGGGGACATACCCATTATCGTCAGTAGGCATCCTACAACACAAATTAAAATAGAATAAATCTTTTGCTGACATTCTAGAAAGGGTTCCCATATTTTAGAAATGCTGAAAAGTAATATCGTGTTTACTTTACTAATAGTCAAATGTCTTTTATTGGGAAGTATGTATTTTTTAATCACTTTGCATAATCATTCTTGTTATTTAATATAGTTATAGTTAAACCAAATTTTAGATTTTGTCTGTAAACCACCTCATCCATATTTGGGGAGGCAATGCCGGCATTTGCTTACATGTAGTTAATTCATAAAAACATTGCAAATCTTGTTGGTGGTCATCGTAATTACTAACCAAACGAAATTCACAATGCATTCAGTGGTGAATATAAGTCTAACTGGTTGATTTTGTTTTGTACCATATTAATAAGGATTATTTAATGCCGAAATCTAAATATTTTGAACACAATTTTATGGATTCAAATAAATATATTTTAAACGTAATTGTATGCTTTCAACTACAGATAAAATATATTGCTAGTCATTTTGCCTTAAAATTGAATTGCTGATAGTCTTACTACAAAAACATGATTTCATGTTTTCATAGTGATTTGTTTTTGTTTGGCGTTTCTCTCTTTACTCATAGATGGGGCCCTAATAGGTGCTACCATCCCGGATCGTTGTGGATCTGGGAACAACAACAATTCCACACTCCTCAAAACCTCCAATCTCCTGATCAGTGACCTTGCTGCTGGATGTAGTTTATTGACATACCCAGGACTGGTGAATATGAGTCTCTTCATTTAGTCAGTTGTCATCTGGTGTAAGACGCTAAGAAATGAATTACTTTGGACAGCAACACAATTCATTTGGAAACATATTTGTTTAATATTTCGTGATGTTTTTTAAAGACTCACTAAACAACATCCTCGTTATTAGTTACAGTTATTCATCCTTAAACCAAATATTTAATCCTTTCTGTAAATTGCCTCGGCAATATTTTCAGGGCAGAAAATGATGGCATTGCTAACATGTAATTCATTTATACAAACATTTGTGGTTCATGCAACAAATTAAAATACAATAATCACTTCGCTGATGTTCATTTATTTTGACTTTCGAAAATTTGATACTCACAGGGCATATCGAGTACAAAAGAGACATCGGCAAACCGCTGGTCGCCTAACAAGCTTGTTTAAATTGATGTCAGATCAGAGAGCAAGTTGTTGCGGATTCCGGGTTGAAATCCGGTACCAATAAATAACAAATGCCTGGAATGAATATAGGAAAATAATGTATTAACGTAATAATACAAACTGGTAACGCAGGTTAGTAGTTTCAGGAACACGGGTTAGTAGCAATATATATATATATAGTCTTTGGTATTGAAGTATCGCTGTATGACGTCTTACTGAGTCTACGTGCTCGCTCACTGTGACTCCTACAACGCTGTTACCTCACTCTCGCTCTTCCGGTTACCTACAAGTAAACTCTGTCACTCTGGACTCGACTCGACTCCTCGGTCTTGTAGCCGTAGTATATGTACATACTGGGTGAGTCCATTTATGTAAAAAAGGGGAGAACCCCTCAACACAAGTAAAGAGCTACAAAAGGCAGGAAGATGTGGAGGGCCTTAACGCCTACGTCCTTTATTTCTTTTTTTAACTCGTTCCATTCACAGAATTTATAGCCCTCCACCTGAAACTCTAATTAATAGTAGCGAGTATTCCAAGAAATAATGGCGATTTTTGAAGTCTTGGAAGTTTTCTCCAGCTCCTAAAAGAAGCAGCCGATTCCAAAGAACTACTTAGAGATAATATAAAACTAATCTAAAAGAATGCATGAAAAAACAATGAGGCATTTGTTAAGCAAGTCGTATAAACACAATTATCACACATATGTCTCAGTCCTAAATTGTCCCAGCGCTCAGTCGGTACTGTTGAGTTGCCCTGTTGTAATTTACTTTGGAATTTTTTATATGAACAATTATCCTAATTATTTATCTTTCTATCCGGATTAGTATTATATTTATAACGTTTCAGCCGTTGTGTTATCCAGCCTTCTTCAAGTATCTATGTTAGTTGGTAATTGGTAATCTCCTCGGAATTTTGAATAGAACCATTTATTCAATTAACATAAGTATATTGTTCTCATTCTGATTTCCATGACTAGAGAATATATTGCATCGCTAATACTCTTCATTTTATTTGCTTTTGTGACATTTCCGCATAATTCAACCCAGGCAATGACTGCCAAGAAGCCAGATATGCTTTAAGCAACGCTTTAATCAATGTCTCTCTTGGATAATCCAATGGTGTAATTTCTAATCTTTATAACTATTGTTTGAACTAAGATTGTTAACATTTTTCGATTTCTTTCCTATTAAATCAGTGTTGTTTCATCTCTATGCTAGATATACTGATGGTGTAGTCAGTGCGTCAGAAGTGCGTGATTCTTTCAAGGGCTTTCATTTTGTATCTTTTAGTGTTGTTCTCTATTATAGTGATTCATTGCACATGCGTTAATGGCCACAACTTTCTCTCTGTAGATGATTACTAATTTCAACGTCTCCCACGAACTAAAACCTTCCTATGTTCCTCAACGATTACCTTTAGTAAGTAGCTGATTTTACGCTTGAATTCATTGCCAAAACTGCATTGGGTGGAATACACACAGTTCTTTATGTTATATGGATCACGAAAACTCTGAATTCTTTCTGGATGTTCCAGTAATATAATGGAAAGCGGCTCGAAATGAGAAACTGGAGAACCGATTTCGAATTCTAGTCGGATTCGTTACATCCCCTTATGCGCAAATGCCTTTGGGAAAGATATGAAACTATCTCCCCAGCTATGGGTTAAATAGTAGGATTTTTATATGGAATAATTATTGTTATTTTCAATGAATTGTTAATGCACTTGCAAAAAAAGAATTATTCTTGCAATCCAAAATGTATTCTGGCTTTAAGTAATCCACATAAGACGTAAAAGCAAATCAATGAATCTTTTGTGACGTACTCCTCATATATAGGATACTCGAGCAGTGAGTATAGCTAATATACTTTGTTGGAAAAAATAAACAGGAAACCCAAAGACAAAGAGAGTTTAGATAAATAACTGATACGAGATAACTCCTCGGCATAGATAAGCTAACCTCGTTAGTTGAATAAAGGGTTATGGTCAACATTCCAAGGAGGATAGAAGGCATGACAGACACATTAAGAAGTGTGTTAGTCGGATGGGTAAGTTGTGGTATAAAAATCTTTAGTTATAATTTAGTTAGTCCTTGTTGGCTTTTCGACATTATTTGAGTTGTTATTTTGCAACCCTTTTTATTAAACTTATTCACATGCATTCTAATAGTAAAGTTATATTAGAATTCTGTTATATTATAATAGAATTCTTTCAATATTTAAGGTTTAAAAGATATTGCTGAAAATATTTTCTTTTTTAAATTATATTATTTAAAGATTGACCATCAAGTGTTGCATTTGATTAGTCTGTGCTTTCTAGTTGAATTCATGGAGAGATTGCAATCTAATTGCACAAAGGAGCACTCGACATTTTTTTGGTGTGCAGCTATTTAATAAGACAAAAACATTGCTGATGTGAATGTCTTTTTTTTAATTTTTCTGTATTTTTGTCCATTCACCTGAGTTGGCAACATGCAGAGTGAAAGGATGAGAAGGTTTTGGCAGTATAAAAGTGAGCAATCTGTGTTCTCAGAGAATCGAATTTATTTTTTCTTTTACTTATTTTCCGTTCTTTTCTTTTTTTATTTCCCTTTTTCTTTTCTTTTTTATTTTCCTTCTCTTTCTTATTTTTCTTTTCTTTCTTTTTATTATTTTCCTTTTCATTTTGTTTTCCTTTTTTTCTTTTCTTTCTTTTTCTTACCCGCAATTTCTGTCTTTTTCTTATTTGCATTTTCTTTATTTTTGCCTATTCTTATTTGCTTTTTTTATTTTTCTTACCTGCATTTTGTTTCTTTTTCTTATTTACATTTTCTTTTTGTTTTCTTTTTTTCGCATTTTCTTACCTTTTCTTTGTTACATTTTTTTAAAATGAGCCATATCATAATTGTCTGCCTTTCTATTCAAACTAAAATGCTCGTCTTGCTTATTATACTCCCAAAAGTTTCAGTTGTTATACCCTCTGGCCTTCACTTGTCAGTGTACTCGTTAACTGAATTTTGAACTGAACCCTTTATTCAATCCACGGGGTAGACTATTCCGATTCTGCTTTCCGAGCTTTCAATTGAATAATGGATTTCATTCAAAATTCCGTAAAGGTTACTCAGTATAATAGACACCGGAAATAGGTTGGAGGGGACGGCGGACAAACCACTGTATGTATGACAAACGAGATAACCATGCCTGTTCAAAAGGAAAGACAGATAACAAACGTAAACTCTACTGTTGAACGATACGATGAATTTTATATGGCTGATGCATTTTGTTTAGAGTTCCATCCACTTTTGAATCATAAATAATTTCCGTTTTGGGGAACAGATTTTAATGACAAATGTCTCATCC